TGACACTGTGCCGCATAATATCGACCTAGCTTTGGGAGATACGGACCATCGTGGACTCGGTGGAAGCTGGTAATTCAGCAAAGGTCACAAATCTAGCGTTAAGAGTGAAATGCACGCAACAGGCGTGGAACAGGAAAAGAATCCAAGACGACGAAGGGCATCGAAGAATCAAAATTTCTAAATGACCAAAAGCGGTCATCTGGAATAGTCCAGGCTTCTTAACATGAAGTTAAGTACCATTTTTTCTCAAGAAACCGGTAGGTCATTACGTAATGTCATCGGTGCATGTGGTGAACGACGAAGGATCGAAAATATCATAATCTAGCAGGACAACAATTCGTATGGCACAAATGAAGCACAGAGCACAGTCGGCCGATAGCAGAAAATCGTCTTTGTAAATCATTTCCTGCTAGTTTCGCTTAACGTTAATCGGCACACTTCGGCTAGATTCTAATAAAGCTTTAAAAACTGTTCATGTTTCCACGATCACCAGCGACTATCATAGAGCCTGTTCCGCTTAAACCTGCCTTTTTTGTCCATTCTAAATATAAGATCATTACGAAAAAGTTCAACATCAAACTAAAAGGAAAACGGAGAAGTGGAGAGCGCCGTTCTAGAGCTCATAGCGGTGGCGAAGCAAGCAATCATGACTAAAAAAAAACAAGCTGTTTGTTGATAATGTCTGACTCCAAAGGATGAAGAGAAGCTTGACTCGCGTCAAGCGCAAGAAGAAACGAAATACAACGCATGTTTATGTTCTGCTCATTCTCAGAGACGTTTCCATACTGCTTTAACCAGGAAACGATCAATGCACGTTCCAGACAAAAACACATATTATCGCAGCTGCAAATGAAGAAACATGCGGCATGCCCGCGCAGCAAGCTCCGAGAGATGCACAGGAAGATAAAGTAGTAAAATGAGGAAAAACAACTGTAGTGTTACGGCAAATGCCGGTCAAGACTACAAGTGACTTGTTGATAAGTCTGCAGACTGCTCGAAACCGAATGCACCCGATCATTACTCATATCGATTTTGGCAGAGTATCTGATAGCTTCAAACCAAGTGCTGCGTTACTAACCCTTGCCAACAAAAAAGGACTGGTAGAAATTACGTGGAAATTGTTAAGGAAGCAAATTAAAGCCGAAAGACAAAAAAAGACAGAAAGTTGGAAAAAGGGGAACGGCAGCAGGACTTTCACCACAGAAAAAAAGCAAACTCTTCGTCATATCAAAGAAGTGTAGGATAAAGACCACGCGAAAAAGTGAATTCTGATGAGCAGGACGTGCTATACGCCACGTTTGAAAAATAAATGGCAAAGCGCACCAGACTAGCCGGTGCAATCATGCGTTTTGTGCAATTCAGCCCATCGAACGATTTTCTATCAATGATTTTCACTGCTTTATACTTTAGTCTACGCAAAAATAGTTCAAACACTGGAAAAGAGTTAAAAATTTCACGCACAGCGTATGAAAGCTGAATTCGAAATCTTGAAGGATGAATATATTTCCGTGATTCCCGAGTTAATAGTTTACCCGCGAAAATTTTCACGGGGCCGTAGGTGGTAACCGAGAGCGCGAGAACGCTAAATTTGAATGGGCAAGGTTGAGCGTGGGCAGGGGGTCATTAGTCTTAAATTTCAGCCTCCTAGACCCGAGGTCCCGGAGATATTAAATTACCCGTGAATATTTTCCACAGAGCCGTACGTGTTACCCGCGGGTAAGGGGAGGCTGATTTTGAATGGGCAAGGTTAAGCATGGGCAGTGGGTCATTACCCTAAAATTTCAGCCTCCTAGACTCCTTGATTCCCGAGATATTAACTTACCCGTAAAATACTTTCACGGGTCCGTACGTGTTATCCGCGGGCGCGGGTCGGTGGAATTTAAATTTTCTGCGTCGCACTTGGGCAGGAGAAATAAACATAAAAATTTCAGCTTCCTAGCTTCTGTGGTTCCCGAGATAACAATTTCCTCGCCAAAAATTTTTCGGGGCCGTACGTGTTACCTGCGAACAAAGGAAGGCTGAATTTAAATTTGCGGGGTCACACATGGGTGGAGAA